ATGCGATTAAAACAACTGCACAGAAGCAGATTTACAAGAGATGCTGTGCAACAGCTTATCGTAAGAAATGCTAGTCGATCAACTCGTTAGCTCTTACAATTAGTATATGATGAGAATGAAATTAGATGAATGAATGCAATGAACTCAAAATGAATTCGTTTAGATTAATTACTCTGAATGAGAAAAGTAGTAGGACACAGTTATGACATTAGTAACGAGAAGTGAATGAAGAGACTGACAATGAGTATTATTGATGAGTTGTTGAGAAATTATCATTATTATTGGAAGATACGATGGTATTGTAAGGAAATGGGACGGCTTTCGAATCGACATAGTCGATGAACTCTTGCCCATAAGCCATACAAACCTGAAGAAGAGCCTCGCAATCTTCTTGAGCGTAGTGCGCTTCGAGTGGTTTGTTGATCAACTGAATAAAATATAGCTGCTCAGATTAAACGCTCACATTATTCATTTTCGCAGTAAAACGCACATCAAACTCAATTCGAGAGTATTTACATTTTCCATTAAATGGAACGAATTATGAACATTCTCTGTTTGTTTCTTGTTATTACAATAACAATTTGCACTAACTAACATCTTTGTACATTTGCTCAAGTTTGAAAACACCGCTTTCATGAAAGTATCGCACTGAAGAGTAGTTGTCAAACACCCAATCGCCTCGTGAACGCCTACAAAAACGAGATTATTATCGACTACAATAACAATTATTGCTTTAAGGATAATTAAATAGACGAAATCAACGATTTTAAGATTGATAAAGAAATGAGGATAGCGATTGAACGACTACGGAACAGCTTTCGACTGACTCACTTGAGAAGATTAGGACGAGTCCGTTTACGTTTTGCAGGAGACCATTGTGAGTTTCGCATAAACTGAATTGGATGGTCATCAGACAAATCGAATATGGAGCGTCTCGCGGTACAATTACTGCTACTGAAATGCTGTTTTAATTAAATGACAAAGTAGGGTGGATGAACGAGTCTGGAAAGAGTATAAACACAGCACCTTATCGATTCGGATGGAACGTTGTTCGTTGTTGCAACTGACGGATTTGTGCATTCAGGACGACTTTGGGGAGAGTTCGGGACGGGGGAATTATTCGGATTGACAGTTAATGGAGATGGGTTATTTGGTGTGGCACTTGATGGAGATGGGTTATTTGGGGTGGCACTTGATGGAGATGGGTTATTTGGTGTGGCACTTGATGGAGATGGGTTGTTCGGGGTAACAGCTGATGGAAAAGGTTTGTTTGGGGTGGTATCTGATGAGGACGAGTTGTTTGGGGTGAAAGTTGACAGTTTCAGAGTGATCACTGTTGATGAGGACGNTTTACATCGCCACATTACTAGTCGAATATTCAACGCAGCACATCCAATCATAAATAGCAACAACAAACATGAACTGAACGAACCTTTTGACCAATCGATCATCTTTGTCAATAATTTCAAATCTTCATGATGTTTCTTCTCGAGATCCATAAACATCATATACGAGTCAATAAAATAAACCTTAAATTGAATGAATCTCTGAATCATTTCTAAAATTTCATACATAATCTTTAAAGTCGTTTTTACGATAACATCTATCTTCTTACTCATATCATAGATATGAATATCGAATATAAAATGAAGTCGAGAAATGAATATGCACTCAACTACCTCGTCAGGAATCGGTTTCGTTTTCAGCAGGTCATGTCGTTGCATTTCTGCGAACAATATGCGATAATCATACCTGAAATATTCATTCCCGAAAGGTTTCCTGATAAACTTCGTTGAATCTGGCGTTATGCTACTAACCGTACACCGTTGTGTGCAATAATACAAACTGGTTTCGGCATTTTATCCAGAAATAAATGCAAGCCTGTCCATTCGTCCGCAAACGTATTGCATTCCTCCAGTGCACTACGGCTCAATTTGATCGCTAAAAAACAATTCAAATACTATCAATGATACGAATAGTACTCGATAATTCAATACTAACTTCTCATTACACATCTTCGCTTTTCATATTCCTTCCATTCTGTCTCCGTCAGAATTGGCTTGATCTGCAATCATTATCATTACTCACACTTTTGCTTATATCTAAGTGTTGATTCATGTGAATTATTACTGTTGAAATGCCGATTTTTAATGCAATAAACTGACGACAGTAATTGCGTTTTAATTTCAAAGGTTTCTGCAACCAAAATTTTTTTTTTTTTTGAAGTGTTCTCAATCGAGTCATCGATGCAAAAGAATTGAAAGAAGTGAATTTAGAGAATGGATGTTGAGGGATGAACCTGTCTGGTGTGAACATGATGAGGAATACGAACATAAGCGCCGAC